AAACAGGTGCAACATGGCAAAAATGTGAAGGGAGCCCTTAGCAGGGGTACATGTTTTCTTCATGTTTTGTGTTTCTGTGGAGACTAGGTTCTGTTCCCTGTCGGAGTTGGCAGGCATCAGAAGGGAACAAACTGGTCTGAAGGGTGTTTATCTGCCATCTTTGTTTTCCGCAACAAGCTGCCTGAAGCACTCATCTCCCAGGGTACCACTCCTCCTCCCCACAGCTTCCCTGGACTTTAAAGAGAAAGTAGGGCTACTTCCCTGTGGATTTAAGTTACAAGAACAAAAGGATTTGACACTGTTCCCTTTTTATAACAGTTTATTTAGCTGTTGTTTCTTCCACTCACCCACTATAAACAAACATTAGGCTTAGGGGAATAGCACCTTCTACTCCCTAATAATTGCCACCTACCTTTCCCTTTCAATTTCTTATTCTTTAAAAATAAATAGACTGCTAAGGTTTTGAGTTTCAATTTCACTGACAACTTGTATTGCAGTGTAGCACCTTTTAGAGTTGTGTTTATAAGCACACCTCCCAAATGCTGATAGGGTTCCTCTGGAACATTTTGGGCAATGATGCAGAAGGCACTTAAAATCCTTTACTTGTAGGACATCAAGACTTTTTTTGTGTGACTAGATTCAGCAAGGGCTTCTGTACAACTGGCTTCATTTTACAGATTTGGGAAGAAGAACTACTTAGAATCATAACATTAATTTTAGCTTTAGTTAAGGTCTGTTTAATGTGAAGTGCCCACTTTATGCTGGCAGACAAATTACCAATGGGGCAACTAGAGAATGCATGAATGATAATGTACAGACAAGCTTTTTATTATTTATTCATAGAAAACAGTGGGTTTTGGTGTGCTGCTTTGAAAAATGTTCAAACTAGTAGAATATAATGAAAGCACAGTGAAAATTCTATTTCATTAACATTTAATCATAAATCGCTCTTTAATATAAAACATAAAATAAAAGTCTGTCATAAGCACTTAGGTGTTTGGAATGGAGCAAGTCTGCAAAAAGGGGAAAAGAAATACTGCAGTGGTTTTCACTGTTCCTGTTATCTGTCACTTAAGAAGAAAAAAATAAGCAAAGGAACAACAGTCTTCACCCAAATCTCACAACTGGTCATGAAGAAACTGCTTGTACATTTCTCAAAACCTTACATTTTGCTGGCTAAAAGTATTCCAAACATCTATAGACAGGGAAACAATTATTTTATCAAAATCACAACAGCCTGGGAGCAGCAATCTTCATCAGAACTCTGCTACCTAAGAATAGATAATCAGACCTTCAAGCTGCCAGAACAAATTCAAAAATCTTTTCTATGAAATATCTACTACCATGTTTTTCATATAACAAGTATTCTCAAATTCCCCTTAGAGGTATACAAGAGTGGTGCACAAATAACAACCTCTTACACACTACAGATCTTCAAGGCTTATACAACATTAGATCTTTATAAAATACTATAGATTATGTCTCTCTTCAAGAGCTCTTGTCAGAGATGTCTTGCTCTATAAATACAAATGCAGTATTATACTAGCAATACTGATTTGAGTAACATCATACTGTCAATTAGCAAAACACATCTATAGACAGGATGCAGGTCATACCGGTTTTTAGCTTTACACAACCTGCTGATCTCTGAAGAACAGAGCAATTCTCTTATTGAAGGCCACCTATCAGTAACAGACTCAGTGCCTTTCTGGTAACGTAATACCTTCATCATCCTCTAACAGTCCTTTCTTTACCTAACAAATGGCAGCCATCACCTGAACAGAGCCTGGTAACTGCAGCCTCTTATGTATTTCACTGTTAGCAGCTAGAAAACTATCTTTGACTCCTGTCAACGGCACTCTTGCCACACTGAAAAAAATGTTCAAGAAACAGTAGAAAATAAGCATCAATTACAGTATTGTGACTTCTTTCTCCCAGCCATCATTAAAAATTCTGACAAGTCAGCCAAGCAACCAAAAATCTAGATACATTTTATCACAAAGCAAGCAAAAAACCACAAACAAAACAAACCAAAAAGCACCTTCTGATCTGCTTTCCTTATACCCCAGGGGCTGCTGAAACAGCCCGTTCTGCAGCCTGCTCAGGAAATGAGCATTTAGGCAACACAGGTTTTCCCAGAGGTGAGATTTTTTTAAAGGAAAATAAAGCCCTTGGAGAATGCTTCCTTTAAGCAGCCTTCTCCGTTTAGCACTGATGGGGATTGAGCATAAAGCCTCTGTTGATCACAGCTGAGTTAGGAAGGCTGAATAGGAGCAATCCTCCAAGCAGGCAGGTTCCAATCACAAAGGTTTCTTTCTCCCAGTCAAGCTCTTTGCTACCAGGTAACCATTCCAGGCATCCCTCCACTGACTTTGCTGAACAGTATGACTGCATGTAAGGAATCAACTTTGTGGGCAAGCAAAGATAAATTAGATGTAACTGTGGGAACTGTCATTTATGAATTGTGGGCCATTAACTCTTAATGCACCTGAAATCCCAAAGTGAGCAACTTGAGATGCACAAAGCAGTCTAACATTGCTGTGCTGCATGTGCAACAGTTCACTAATGAGTCAGCAGTGGTCTATAAACTAAATGCAAAACTTCCCATTTAATCAGAACAGATCCATGCCACCTCCGGATACAGGGCAAGCAGACCTATCTCTTTATCTCTTGGTGTCAGTTCTTTTCTTGCTTATTGCTTTTCCATAATTACTGCACATTATTTTTGGATATCCACCTTCAAAAAACCCTTCTATTCCTGTTTAGGCAAGTTGGTTTACCTTTGTACAGTTCTACATTATCAAGACAATCAATGCAAACTACCCTTGGAATTTTTCATCTGTAGCTTCCTCAATATTTCTTCGCTTCTTTATCCTCTGAACAGATACAATCATGCAATAATTTTAGAAACAAAACCTTCATGCTTAGAGGAATGTGAGCTATTTCTTTTGACTGTTCATTTTCAGAAATTGTTTCAAACACTTTTAAAGGAGAATAATTCCATTTCTTGTTAAAGTGTACATATAAAAAACAAACTCTTCAGTAAATTTGGGATCAAGTTACAGAGTTTTAGGTTTTAAGTTTTAAGAATCTTTTTTTTTTCTTTCAGTCTTTATCACATCTGTTCTCAGTTAGGTCTCATCAAAGTTCTGATTTTGAACTTACAATCATTCAGAACACTTACTTCATACACTTACTGCTCAGTTCACGTTACTTAGCCTTCTTATTCGGTGCAGCCAAAAAAACCCGCAACTCCACCAGCTTGCTCACATAGCAATTTCTTGGAACATCTTCCAGTGTAACATGCCATTATATATAGACAGAGACGAAAACTCTCTTGAAATTTTGCAATCACTTTGCCTAGCAATCTACCACTATCTTCAGACTTGGTACACTGCAGTACAGATTGCTGATACTCCATCACTATAGGTTACTTTATTACTAGATCTTTGTCATGCTATTTCTTTTTGGAAAATTCTAACTAAGGCTTCCAATTAATAGCTTCCAGTTTTTGAACCTTTCAGGATGAGAAGATTCAAGTACTTTTGCTTGTTCACACAAGGTAAGAATGTGGTACACAGGTAGTTCATTAGCAACCTTGTGTGGCCTTAATTAATAAGGACATTCTCAGGCATTTAACCCTAAACATGTGAGCATGTTGTAGGGACACAGGGATTATGTTTCTTTTACATACTATATGGTTATAGTCAGGTTATGCAGGTACTGATTCTGGTGGCTATTTTAATGCTTATCATGGCCGTCTTCTTATTAGACTTTAGTGAGGTTTTTTGATCATGTAAGAAACAAACTTCACCAGGACCTTGGGAAATTACAGTACATGCTTATTTTGAAATGTGCAATTACAGTTTGATATAGGACTCTTCTACATAGCACAGGCATTGACAGATATTTTTAACCTTGTCCAGGGCACTCCTTTGCAGACTCTGTTCTTGTTTGCCTACATTTTAACCACACTTTCCATTTCAAAGTTTGCTTAAGGCTGACAAAATTCAGAAAGTTCCAGCTGAACTCAGATTTAAACTGCATGCTAGAATCAGCAATGGTACCCCTTGGGGAAGAAATACAAATCCCACTGATACTCCCTGAGCACAACAAATAAGTATGGAACAATTATGCTTTGGCTGCTTTGGTGTCCAAGACGAGTGGACACTTCTGAAAATTTTTGGTCTTTATATAGAAATGTCCCACTGTGATGTGGGAGAAAAAAACCACTAACATTTGTTTAAAAAAAAGAAAAGAAAGAAAAAAAGAGATACTACAGAGACAAATGTCACAGAAAATCTTACATTGCAACTAGTATCTCTAAATTCAGTGAAAGATGTCTCTCAAATCCCATGAAAAACAAGGATGTGTGTTACAACATGAACAATAGTATAAAACAAAATGTTGAACAGCTTCTCATTCCATGAATACTCCCCATTCAATGTAACAAGTGATAGGAGTCATGAGAAAGGATAGTTTGCAATTGTGCAATTAAACCCTTATTGTAAAGCATATGCAAAATGTCTAAAGCAGCCTTAATTTTATGGATTCTTGACTTCTGACTATTTAAGCCTTGTATGTTTTTTAATGTTAAGAAATTTTATTCCTATGATCAGTAGTAGATACTATACAGGGAGAACTTCCTTCATCATCCAGGCAAAGGGCATGTGACAAAAAAGACTATATAGTATTCTCAAAGCTCATTTGTATGGGGCTGGAATTTCTCACAGTCTGGGCTGCCATTTTTTCCACTTTATGTTCGCAAACCCCCTTCTCAATATGCAGTAGCGTATGTTTGTAGTAGTGAGGGACAGATGCTCAATCTCAACAAAGATCAATGCGGCTCCAGGGAGCACTGTAGCATCTTTTCTCTGATATTACACTTCACTGTCCTGAGGCTGTTCCTATGTGGCAGCTTATCAGGTTGCCAGTCTGTCTTTAAGATTGCTCTCTTTATCTTATTTTTTTAAATAAGAATGTATATTTAAAAGACATACCTGTCCAATAATAAGTGGGACTACAACAGTCATAAACAGCTGAGAGAATATAGATGTAAAAGGCACAGAGGAGGATGATCCAAGCTACAAAATAAAAAATATACCATTAATATTGCACTTTTTCTTAGTGTCTGTGAATTTCATAAATATATCACACATTAGTATACATTTTATTTTACTTTACACATAAAAACTTGGGAGTATGTGCGCAAAGTTGGAAGCAGGTGCATGCATCTTTAAGTCCTAATAAAGCATTTGGTATTCCATAGTAACAAAACTGAAACAATCTCTGGTTGATTATTTTATGACCTAAGGTAATAGTCCCATCAATATTCATTTAATTGAAACCCTGCTACACATATATACCAAGTAAATTATATAAGTATCTGTAGGCTGATAGTCTAAAAAGACAGGAGTGAATATTTCTAACTAAGCAGCTAGCTCAACTAACCTTACCATTTATACAAAAGCAACAAAAATTCATGTAGCTATTTCAATAAATAAGAAAAAAATAGTGAAGACATTCACATATTTTACTTCAATTAAGGTAAAAATATTTAATAAACTACAGCATCTCATCCCCATCACCTCCAATTTTAGCAATGTGGGCACAGAAGGCAGTTGGAGGGGACCTGAAGATGATGTCATCACTGAGACTTTTGGTCTGTAAGAAGGGTGCAAATGAGAGCACTGAGATTAAGGAGCCTAAATTCCCCATGAAGTCAAGAGGGAGAAGTAAAAGCTTGCAGGGGAAGACTCAGATCACTCACATGAGTACCTGAAGTCAGGCAGCGCAGCTACTCTGTTCCCAAGGGACACAAGGCAAGGAATCTGCATGATTCCTTGCAGAAAGTGGAGCAGAAAACTATCATACCACTCATAATCTCCTTGTTGTTTTAATTCTTGTAAGGAGCTTCTGAAATTTTAAAAGGTTCCTAGTTTTTCAAACTCTATTTGGACTTATATTTTGCTACGTGCTGAGGAGCTAAAAGCATTACTTACTGTGTATTCAAAGAAGCTTTTTCAAATGAAAGTGAAGATTTTTAAACTTTAAAATCGGTGTGGGTCACAGAGGAGTGAATCTCACCAAGCAGTCCACATGTCAGGCCCCTCTGCATAGCTTCACAAACTATGACATTTTGTCGGTGGCTCTTGTTCATTTTTATAAAAACCTTGATTGGACTTCTCTCACTTGCTTAAAAGCTTTATGCGCAGTGGATGTATAATCAGCTTCTAAGTCAGGAATGAAAAACTGTTCAGCAATATTGTACACTGCTGAAAAAGGCAGCCATTCAAACAGAAACAGTCTTGCCAGCTTTCTTAAATATTACTTAAATACAGTCTTCAAGCATTTGGTATATATGAGGATATGTTTTGGTTTGGGTGTGGGGGGTTTGGGGTGGGTTTTTTTTTTTTTTTTAATTTAGTTTTACATAATTGGAAACTGATTACAGGTACTGTGCTGGGATGCTAAATCAATTTACTAAGGAAAATTATTTTATTCAAAGAAACAATCTTCTCTATCAGGATATCAGCATATGGTTCTTCATCAACTTCACCCCACCCTTTCAGGCTCATCTCGCTATTACCTGGACCACCAAAGGCACACACTTCAGGTAACCACCTCATCCTGACTAGATTTTAAACAAAACAGAAATCCACATTATCAGTCCAAAATGAATAAATAAATAAATGATTCATTAATATGGAGCTAGCTGTTTTGCCTTGAGTCCTTAAGAGGTCCTGCTATAACACACCTGGAACAGAAGTTGGAAGCAGTGTGTATGCTGGACTCTGCCTGTCCTTCATACGCTACTATGGCATTAGACTTGCCTGTCCCATCTGTGATACTGACATTACTTCTTCCAAAAGACTTCTGAACTCTGTTTCCCTTCTGTATATTATAACTTCAGGGGAATGTTTTTTATCAGAATCTGTAAATTACACAACATGTATAAACTCTTGCATGGCCTTATTTTAAATCTATTCACAGAGGAGACACAGAAGATAACAGCTGAAGAAAAGAGAAGGCAGGCATTTCTCAATCACACAGAATAAAAAGACTTTTAACTCTGGAAATACAGTGGCTAACCATGAGGAATCACAAAGGCTAAAAATAATGAATGCTAACTTGACCAGGATTGTCTCAACATTTGTAGTATGCAAACACATCAGAATCACAAACTAAAATGCCCCACAGACTCTCAGACATTGCCTGGGTTCCAAACTTCCTTTGGCTATGTTTGTCACATCCACTTTGAGAAAAAGAAGTGAGAGCTGAGGAACAGAGGAAACAAATAGCTTGATATAAACGTTACTCAAACCTACCTACACATACATAAATGCAACTATTCTGTCTGAATGAATAAACATGATTTTACTCAGGTTTTAGTTGGATCAAGCTAAGTTCTGTGCTCCATTTGCTGTCATAAAATTATTTATTTTGGTTTTTTTTAAACCACCTAGATGATCTGCATTGCACAAAAATTAGCATTATGCTTAAATGTCTCATTATATTTGGCTGCCCTCCTTGCTGTAATAATCTCCATGCCTAAAAATGAACCTTTCTTCACAGGGAAACAAACAGAATTACTGCAAGAAACAGTGGAAAGACATCATAGAATCAAATTGCTGATTTATAGCTGTAAAAATAATCTGGGTCATGTTCAGGTTTGAGGTGAATTGCACAGAAGGGAAAAAAGGCAGACTGGGTGACTCAGGACAGGACCCTCGTGGTATCCTTGTTCTATGATCCTGTAAAGACGTGTAGTTAGCTTCTGCCATGTAGAAGCAGGATGTGTACTTAAAAGGCTCCTCTAGCATTTATAGATGAAAATTTCAAGAGCATAACCAAGTAGAAAAGAAAGTCTTCCACAGAAACATTAAATTCTACCTAGGCAAATTTACAGTATTTTGTGTCAGGAAGAGGGAGAGCCCTCTTGTTATTCTCTAACTGCTATCTGTATTCAATTTCTATCCAATACAATTCGTATCCAATTGTGTTGGATATAGTAAAAGGTGAATTTGAAAATAAAATTATCAAGTACAAATTTCATAGCAGTCATTAAAAAGTTCTAGTTAATTGTAAAGGGTTTGGATCAGAGAATTTTGTCTTCCTAATGATTAAAGAGACAGGAAATGGTGAGGTAAATAACCAGGCAGGAATAACGATGCACTTCAAATCTTCCCCATGAAGGAGTTGATCTATTAATAGCTAATTTGCTATGCTGCTTTCTCCCCTCACAGTAATCAGCCTTTTGTCACATACTAGTAAAATCCATTAGCTGCAACTTCCTTATCAACTTCCATGGCTTTCCAGCTACTAAAATATTTGCATATTTAACGATTCATTTAACTGATACAGACTCTCAAGTACCAAGTGCTAGAGGAATAACAAGGAATAGTGTGTAGAAATCCTGTTAAAAAAAAAAAATGTATTAAAGCTCCTTTTAATAAAAGGATTTACCTGAAATACATGGCATTGGAGAAGACTTGGCAAAAAATTGAGAAATAATTTTTTAAATGATGTTTTAATTTAAAGATTGTGACTATATGGGAAAGATTTTAACTGCAGTATTTCAATCAACTTCTAGTTTCATTCATGTCCTTAGTCACAAGTAATTTTTTTTCACTTGTTTTCTGTGATACTTGCACAGATTTTCCTTCACCTGTCTACTCCTGAGCTCTTTCAGCAGTGCTCCTTTCCAGTACTTACGGTATCACTACAATGCCACCATAAAAATACCTCCTATAAAATTAAGCCATTTGACAGGGTACCAGAAAACACAACATGATTGAATAAATCAAGAAAAGAAGAAAACTGATAAAGCCATAGAAGATTCCATTTTGGTACAAACATCACAGTAGTCATCCTTAGTGAAAAAGCAAACTTGGGAGTGATGTCTGATGGTTCCAGGAAGGATTTTGACAAATGTATGTTTAAAAATACACATGAATTTTGCATTGGGTCCTTAACATTCCACATTAACTCATTTGCAGGCATGCTTCTGAAGAATGTAAAGTACATAAAAACGTAAAATACTTATCTCTAACATTGATGGCTTTCAATAAAGTTACATAGATTCGCAGATCTTGACTAACATTACTTTGCTAGCGAACCAGCTGTACTTCCTCCTATTGACAAGACTGTACCGGTCAGGCACTAAGCCTCAGCAGCAAAGGCAATACCAAGAAGGTGGCAAGGCTGGGATACTGTACCATAAAAACCACAGCATCACATTTGGTTCCAACAGGTGTGCGGATGACTGACTTCTTGTATTTTTATACTGGATACAGTCAACAAAATCATAAGCTTGTGTGGTTTGTTCACACAAAAAAGGTCACTCTGCATTATCCTCTTACATGGTAGCACAGCGTCTATGCTCATTTTGCTTCCAGGGCAAATCCAAATTACATGACCTTGCTGAGGCATTAATGAAAAGAAATCTACGTTCATACATATTTCTGTTTTTCATAACAATCTAAGGACATATAAGTGAGATGATACAGCTACAAGTGTTTCACAGTGCAGTGCTCCTGAAGTTGTGTATTTCAGATGAAACATCATAAAAGGTGCTGACATCTCGAGGTTATTGAAGAGATCACAGAACTATTATCTTCACAGTATGATGACATCTTTTGTTTAACTTTTAGTAATGCAAATGTGCCCAAATGCACCATACTTCAGAATTCAAATCATAAACTGTTACTACAAATCACAAACCTTTAATACAATTACTAAAGGAAGTAACTAAACTGAACAGGGAGAACAAGTCATATAAGCAAAGACGGACAGTCATACCCAAGTGACTAACTTCCTCAGGCATTACTTAACCTATTTGTAGTCATTATTTATTGATAATAATATAGTTATTTCCAAAAGCAAAATTTAGTCTACACTTCAATTTATTGTTGATGTGGTTCTCTCCCTTCCCATACACCCCAAATGCCTTTGAGAAAATAAAACTTATGTCTCTGCTTTAAAAAAATTTCATGATCAATTACCTTCGGTTTCAGCTAAGTACATGACCAGACGAGGAAGATGGACAGCATCCTCCTCTGAATGCTTTGGTACACAGCCTCCTAACCATCACTAATGAAACACTGCAGAACTGTGCAAAGAAATGTGAACAGCATAACCCTGAGTTAACTTGAAACTGATGTATCTTACAGCACTTTGTTTCAACACTCCTGTTCACCAAATATATGAACTGTAATCAATTACACACAGTTTATGGGACACTGCCCATTTATAACATCTTTGCTGAGAATATAACATATTAACTGTTAATAATAAGGGTTAACATGAGGATGATGATACTGCCGATTAATGCATTTGGAAGACAGATTCAATAGCTTCCTAAGTAAAATGTTAATCAGAGGAATCTGTGGTGAAGGCAGCTATTCTTTAAAGTCTAGATGTGAATCCTCTCAAGGATAGAGTCTAGTAATTATGTGCACAGTATTTAAGGTTTCATTAAATCCATCAGAACCTTTTAGAACGCTTCTTTTGAGTAAGCTTTACACCTGGTGTTTCATAGTAGAAAAGCACTTTTCAGAAATGTAACTGACAATCTTATGGTCAACTCCATTCAAGATGATAAATTATTTGCCTTAAATGCATTATTTATAATAAGCTTCAACATGCCTTTATCAATATTATTTAAACAACTTATATTTACATTACTAGGCAATTATGAATAGAAAAGACAGTTCAGAACATTATATCCTCTGGTGCACATAGGGCAAAATTTAAACCGTAACTGCTACTGCAAGTTAAGCTATATAACAAAACCAAACTAATGGACAGGAACATATTTTATTTCTGGCAGCACTAAGGGTATTTCATGCTCTGTGCACCGGGAGATAACAAATAGGATCACTAATGCAATATAGCGTTCAGACTACCACAGTATGACCCTGGCAGTGCTAGTGCTCATGAGTACCAAACTTAGAAACTGAAATTTGTTGAAGGCGTTGGCTTCAAAGGTCCCTGAATGGTGTTCAGAAGCCCAGCCCAGCTACTGTTGAGGTAAATGCAGCTTTTATCTTGAAACTTGAAAATTCCAAATCTTTATTGACTAAGCCTTAAGGCTAAGTTGCATGCCTAAATTACTCACTGCACAACAATTAAAGTGCATTTTACACACTTCTCGTACAAGTGTCTCCAGTGCTGCTAGGAAGAACAGAGGCACCCACTTTGCCTTCCTGTTCTTGCACACAAAATTTTACCATCCCTTTTGAGAAGCAGCAGCGAAAACTGCAACTCAGGGAACAGAATATCATGTTACCTGCCCATAAAGTCACCAAAGGAAAGATCTTTGCTTAAAAAGGTATGCAGATCATTCCTTAACATTTCAATTTCTAAAGAAAATATCCCTTTGGGCTATGTAAAGCACCAAAACTCAGTGAGATACAGCAGGGTGAAAGTTGACAGTGAGCAAAAGTTTAAAAAGCTGAAGCTTCAGTCACTTAGAAACAAAGGCACAAGTCTCTGGATGAATGCCTATAAAAGAAACAGGTTTCATACAGGAGAGAAGAGGATAGCAACAAATTCAGTGCAAGAATAATAAACCCCACTTCTTTTTTTTTCTAGAGTAGTTATCTTTTTCAACCTACAGTAAGTCTATCGTCCCAGGTACATCAAGAAAACTCTGCTAGTGTGCATTGATATACACAGTATGGTCAAAGCAGTTCTTGCGTAAACACAGGAACACCAGATGAATTACAATTTGTTATAGTAAAATAAGGATCTTCCCACACAGCTTTACTGAAGCAGTAGTTGATAATGTTACAGTCACTCTCACAGTACTATTTATCCCAGTTTAGTATACACTGCTATATTTGTGTACAGTACATATGCTGCTTAAGCATCGCTACCACAAACAGCGTGCCACTTGTATGCCACTTACAAATTGTTTCAGACTAACTTCTCACATGCCCTCCTTTCCAGTGTGCTGGCTTACATATAACGCAATTAGTAAGATAAACATGAAAGACAATGTATACATCTGCTGAAATCGTTGAAGTGCTTCAGCCTATTCCCCTGCTCTTCACAAAGCCACATTCCTCACTTGGCAATCTGCATCATTCCCTATCATTTATGCTACCAAATCCTCAAGCACCAAGACTTCCTGACAGGGGACTTAAAGCACCACTACCCATCTGTTAAAGCATCTTTGTTGTATGCTGATGAATACCCATACCTTTATACAGTATGAAGATAAAACCTGGTCTTCTCCCTTTTCTTCTAACACGAACTGTAAGGAACAAGGCCCTGACTAAAGACTAATGATGAACAAGAAATCCTGAACTAACAGAAAGGAAGCAGGATCACATTTAGCTGTACACAAGGGCTCCAGTAATGTATCTTGCTGCTGCTGCGCTCTCACTAACCTCACCACAAAAATACCCATGGGCTTAGTTGTCCAAAAGCAGGGCTCTGTTTACCTGAACAATGCTTTCCCAATTGGCCTGTCATCCATTTTGGGTCAGTATAATATTGTCCAGCTCCTGCACGTGAAAGCTTTCCAAAGATCTCTCAACTGAGTAATCAGCTTACTTGGCAAGTGCCTGTATTTCAAACACCCAGCCTGACTAATAGTACATGACTTTGTAATTGTACCAGAACTATCGGGTTTGATCGCCTTAGAATGAAGTACAGGTAGTGTTTGCATTCATTGCAACACATTCTGATGGCCTATCTGGGAGACAGCTTATTTCAAATACTGACCAGAAAAATTTTCCTTGTTATTAAAGCACTGTTATATCACCCAAATTTTGTAATCCCCATCACAATTAGCAGACAGGTCTCAAGGGTACCCAAAGGCCATTCAGAACCTTCAGAACTCTCAAATGATGTTCAAAAGTGATCTGGTAGGGGGGCTGGGAAGGTAAGGGCATGTCTCCTTCACAGCCTGACCACCTGAGGAGGTGAAAAGAGATGTGTAATTGCTGAACACTTCTGTTATATACCTCCCAAAGTATAGAAGTGGTGATCACACTGGGAACACAAACCAGATCAGTTTCATAATCAACGAGTCTATTGTATTACAAGTCATAGAATCATAGAATAGGGTTGGAAAGGACCTTATGATCATCAAGTTCCAACCCCCCCCCCCCGTCATGGGCAGGGACACCTCGCTCTAAATCATATTACCCAAGGCCTCGTCCAACCTGGCCTTGAACACTTCCAGGGACAGAGCATTCACAGCCTCCCTGGGCAATCCATTCCAGTGCCAGTCAATACCATAAAGTACAATGAAACAAGAACCTTAGCCCAGGCCCCCCAACCAACGAACACTAACATGCCAAATACTGGCTGTAAGGGATGACATGCTGAAACTCCGAGGTAAAGAGCAACAACTTTGAGAGCCACTAAATCAGCATTGTGATGAGTGACTATTAATCCGAAACAATGAATACTTATCACAAATACGACTAGACATACTCTGGTCAGATCTGTCGTTATCTCAACCCTTTGTGCCCCACATTGGGTGCCAAAAAGAACTGTTATGGTTTAAGCCCAGCTGGCAACCCAGAACCATGCAGCCGCTCGCTCACTCCTGCCTGCTTCTGGAGGGACAGGGAGGAGAATCAAAAGAATGTAACTCCCATGGGTTGAGATAAGAGCAGCCCAGTAACTAAGGTAGAACACAAAATCACTGCTGCTACCACCAATAATAATAATGATAAGGGAAATAACAAGGGAAGAGAATACAGCTGCTCACCACCCGCTGACCAATACCCAGCCCAACCTGAGCAGTGATCTAGCCCTTCCAGGTAACTGCCCCCAGTTTATATACTGGGCATGATGGGCTGTGGTATGGAATACCCCTTTGGTTAGTTTGGGTCAGGTGTTCTGTCTTTGCTTCCTCCCAGCTTCCCCTCCTCCCTGGCAGAGCACAAGACTCAGAAAGCCTTTGGTCAGAGTAAACATTACTGAGCAACAACTAAAAACATCAGTATTATCAGTGTTGTTCTCAGGCAATAAAAAACACAGCACTGTACCAGCTACTAAGAAGGAGAAAAACGACTGCTACTGCGGAACCCACAGCAATATCTTAAAAATGCTGTCTAAGAGGTGCAAGATTAGTCAGTAAAAAGACATCTTAAAATCAAGATACTTACAAAAAGCAAAAGCAGAAGTGGAGTTATAACAATGCCCTGGAAGAAACAAAAGAAGAGTCTGTTAGTCAGGGAAGCAGAATAGTCTTTATTTCTTTGTACCTTAGTGCCTGGAAATATAAAAACATCTTTCAACATCATAGAAATGAAGCAACAAGTTCAGCTTTGCTCTTCATGGTGTATGCTCTTTAACATCTGTATGCCGATCATTTTATAAATTATACCCTTTTTTACCTCTAGCTTTCTCCATTTTGCACCTAAGTCCTTCTAGTCTAAAAAATCCGATGCACAGAAATATAGATCATTTATTTTACAAATCATACTAAGTCTCTCCCCTCACTGTACTGTATCTTAACTTGACTAAGCTGCTCCTCCTTAGAGGGGTACTTGTGATCCAAGTCCCATGCTACCCAGTCCCAGGTCCTCTTCTGAGCAAAAGCCACATCAACCATGATGAATTAGGTGTCGTGACTGTGTAATGTAAACTGACATTCCCCAAGGAAATGAGCTGAGATCTGAAAACTCATTTCACTTGATTAGACTTTGCATCTCACTGGTAGAAGGCAAGTCTTTCATCTGATTTAATCACACAGGACCACCTCAGCTTTTCACATCCCCCAGGCAGACGCAAGCAAAAAGATTTGTTGTCTTTACTGACAAGGAACAGGTTTCAAGCTGATGATTGGACAAAACAGAGGATTTTAACTTTCATGAGAGCAAGTCTTAAAATGAGTTGTTTGGGTTGGGAGTTAACATGACATGCATCAGTTTCAGAGCTGCAAACAGCAATTCCCCACCATCCTTCCATCTGACTTCAATATTTTATTATTGCTCAATAAAATGATTCTATCATTTAATGCATGCCAGTTCACAAAGCTTGCTCAGAACTTCTCTGACCCAAGACTATTCCTTCATCCAGATATGTCTCAAGAAAAACTAGTCTTTCAGCTATTCACAAACTTTATTGTTTAATGGACAGAAGTCCAAAACTTGCTCACATTCATCTATAAGGATGCTTATTTTCTGTTTCTTTTTTTTTTGTTGCAAGCTAAAAAAAAAAAATGAAAAAATCAAACAAACAAAAAAAAAAGCAGTTGTCTCTGCTTTTCATTTAACCTTGAGCAACACAACCTTACTTCAACCTTTTGGAAGCTAATATACAGAAAAACTTTACATGACTAGTTTTGCATTTGCTTTCTGGGTCCATAAAAAATCATGGACCCAGACAGCCCATTAGGCACAGAAATTTTGTATTGTGTTCTTAAAACAAAATGTAACAAGTAAATGCCAAAATTGGTAGCAGACAAGAAGAACTGAGGAGGAAACAGTTAAGCTGTGCAACTTGAAGGCTCTGCAGGATTTAAAAACATATTTTGAAATAAATAATATATGCCATATCTGACTGCCCCACAGCCTAGCTATCCATAATCATTTATCTTTTTGCAAATGTCACAGCTGAGACAGATCATAAAAGACTAGAAAGACAAGAAGTAGAAGCAATAAGAATTGCTTCAGGGAGTCACTCACAGTTTACAGGGAGGCCTAGACCAAAATGTAGGTAACAGTTATGAAGAAATGTAAATGTTTAAGTATACCAGCTGTAGAAGAACAGAAGCTGAAGAAGGGAGGAGGCACCAAGAGCTGATCTGATACTTACGTACAGTAGCATCTATGATGCTTAGAACGAAGAACTGATAGTAGTACCTTTCTAATGCAGATGCAACACAGTCACTTCATCAGAACCCAACTCCAACCTGTATGAACTGCTACTAAGAATACATGAGCCGGACTTTCCCCTTCTCCCCCTTTCCCCACTGGCAACTACACTTCACAAGTGCCTGAGTATTCCCTAAGCGTCTTGTAATTTTGGGATGGCAGAACACCACTGCAGCAGGGCCCCACCTTCAGATCTTCACAGTGAGCAAAGAGAAGCATGGATGGAGGGGAAGGTGATATGCCAAAACATCCTGTACTCCAAATGAGCATTGAGTGTAGGAAGAAGAGGACACACTGACAGCTGGTGAGTTTAGCCAGCTCTTCTCTAAATCTGAAGGAACTCATTGATTCAGCACCATTAGTCATTTCTACACGCTTCACGCCTCAGTACATTTTACAGCACTTTTATACGTTACAAAAAATTGCTAAGATAAAAACAAAACAACCTTCCCCTTTCTTTTGATGATAAATAAAGATGGTGTTCTTCCTCTTTGGCATGGGGCCTGTGACTTGGTGTAAATTTGCTTTAGAAGCATGGTGATACTAACGCAATGGGCAACTGCCACTGCTAAATCAAAGCACACATCACAAAAGGAAACATTACCACTTTGACAATAACACTTCTTCCTAATTCTGTAAGCAGAGGGGAAGAAAATCATGGTATACATCCTAAATAGATTCTTAGCTAAGCTTCTTGAAAACCTAGCACTCAAAAGGTCAATTCCAGCAATTCTTTTTAAATTTTACTGTTAAACCCAGTGATCTTAATAATCAGAAGCAAGCTTCCCGTTGCTTCACCACAGAAAGGATTTACAAGGTTGAATTCTGACATTTGCAACACATACACAATCCTCTGGGAAGCTAAACAAATGCCCGACAGAACAGACAAGTTCATATTAAAAAATAGATGCTGTTGCCAAATCAGCTTAATTTGATGTTAATGTTTTATTTTGATAAGGAACACCAGTTTGAAAAAACACTGAGATTACATTAAAGCAGTCATTAGTGCTTTGGTGACTGTGATGGTTTACAGGTGCAAGCAAGGCAAGATTTGCTAGGGGAGGGAACATCTCTTACCAGACGGACAAACAGAATTAGTAAAGAACAAACTTTGGGCACGTAAAGCTCATTTTTATGTTACCTGCAAACACTGACATGCTTGTATGTGCAAACTCCTTCTATTCAGGTTTCTGTTCCAGATCTGAAGAAGGGTTTACATGACTAGTCTATCTAACAGATACTGCCTTTCTCCGCACATACCACCTGGCTTCAACACGTGTCTTCATTTGAAACATGCTCCTCAATAAGCTCGTAAGAATTATGCGATGCATCTCAGTTCATACCCACTAAAGAATAATAAAGAGAGCACACTGAGTCTAAAACCTACTGATATAAAAGACAAACAACTGTTTATGTTTTGAAGGTAAAACCATAATCTGATTCACTCAGAATAAAGAAAAGATGGAAAAAAGTTATTCTGCATGGTCCAGCTCAGGCACTAGCAGAGGCTTCAAAAAGATTAGGCATATTCTGACACTGGCAGTGTGGTTGCTTTCTAAGATTGACAAGCTGAAAAGGAAGGATAAAAGAAGCTAAAAATTAAAATAAAGGCTAAAATTTCTAAGTCCACTGGACACTAACACCATCAGAGAAGATGGAGTAACTAAATTTGACTACATGTTTCCCTGCCTTGCTTTCCAGGCAAGTACTGTCAAATACAGAGTGTATGGAGATAAACAGATTGTAGGTTAGCACTTCCAGCAGAAGCTGAGCATCTGCCCTTGAGAATGCAAGGGCATTACACAGTTTTAGCATCTTCAAAGTTCGGGTGGAGTGTTAAGCTTTCCAACTGCTGCCCACAATGGAGGCAGAGTTGTAAAGTGACTGTCGTTTGCTAGCAGCAGAAAAACTTTCAAGAAATCCATTTACACCTCTGATGTGAAAGATTGACTGAATACATTCCAAAGATTTTAGCGGAAGCGGAAGAAAAGAAATCTCAGCCTGACCTGAGATACTGATACGACATAGGAATCTGAATAATCAGATCTCTGTAAACACATTTCTTTTTACGGTAAAGATCATGAAACATGTCTTAATTAAGGGAGCTGAAATACAGGTTTGTGAGTGTGAGCATGTGCATAAATGTATACTTTAACAGCAGGGATGTACCAGGAAATCCGTTTAATTGTTATTTGTCTTGTATAGATAAAGATGTTAAGAGATTTTCTATAGTTTTCACCCGTATAGCATTGCTGTACAGCAGATATTAAAAGGCATCTATTTTCCAAAAGACTATGTAGAATCAATACACTTAATTGATTGCCAAGTCTGACAGCAAAAGGAAGTAACATAATGGATGTGAAATTATGATGGCAAATCATTAAGAAAGAAATTATGCAAATAGTAAGAGGAAGGTGGGCACAGATCCAGAAGGACACATGGTAGAAGATGAGTAAGGATTATTGTAATGAGGCATGAAATACATGTGAACTTTCCTTCCTTTCCTTTACACACAAATTTCCCATGCAATTTTTCTTCATTCTTACAGGTCATCAGTATGACACGCTTGTGATAATTACTAGTGGAAGAAAAAAAACCCAACAACCCCTAACCAAAGCCACATCTTATCTTAAGAGGTAGGGCTAGAAAGGAAAATTAACGGTTTGTAATCAAGGTCCTGAACAAACATGTATTTTCTGAAATCAATTATCAACTTGTGTTTAAAGCTACAGATGTTCTTGAACACTCCCACAGAGCAGGACAAAAAGGAGCACCAGTGTAAACATTTTTGTGTAATAAACTGAACAGTGAAAAGTTAACTGGGCAACATTTCCACTACTACTGATGGAGCAATGTGCGAGGAAAACGGCTACGGACTGCGGATAATTTCATCATAAAACAAGCACGAATGAGAACTGAGATTAAATCTTCATCTGTGTACAGCACCATTTCTCACATCGGTTATTTCAAGCATCGCTGGCACTTTTTGGTAAAGAAAGAACAACAAAGAAACTCAGCCTGTCCCCACCCCCTAAACAAACACACAAATCCTTGCAGTTTTTCTGATTACAACGAGAGAGGGGGAGAGAGAGACTTTATCTTGAAGCATTTATTATTTCTATTTCTTCTTGTCTTTTGTTTCCTTACTTTTGAGCTTGGAATAGTGGGGTTTCTTCTAAAAAAAAAATTAATCTTTATTTTGACAAATTTGCAGACAACTTTATAATGATTTACATTACAAAATGAGAACCCTGCCCCTAGAAAAGTACTTCTAGGTCTGAATTCGGTATGCTTGTGAGCGAGAGACAGCTTTGACAGGAATA